AAACGAAACGACTGGCTAAACTGCATAGCAGCGATAGTGTAGAGCACCGTGTGTGTACTGCTGTTCCACTGTTCTGTCTTGCAGGTTCCCAAAGGCGTCCCCATGACTTATAGTCTGCTGCTGAAACAGATTATTACAGTGAAAAATCTCAAGCCAGCGGTCATCAGGGTTTATGACTACTATGAGCCAAGTATGCTTTTATCCTGATCATGCTTTGCTCTGGCTGAATTCCCCCTTGAACACAATCCAGCTCATTTTCTGTTCCCCTTTCAGGTGATGCGTTTGAGACCACCTACATGTCTCCGTGTCCCAGTCCATGATTTCAGTGCTGGTTACAGGATACATGACTTAAATAAAACTGCTTTTATGCAATTTCATTTTGTTGGAGTTTTTTTGGTTCCTCATCTGTGACGTGTTTGTTTTTGAAGCAGGAACTTGCACTGGTGTTTTTTTTGTTTTTTTTTTTTTTTTTTTTCTTTCTGGTCCTGTGTCTTCAGATGGCTTAAATGCAGTTCACTCAAGCTGTGTGTTTTTTATTTATTTATTTATTTTATTTATTTATATATTTACATGTGATTGTAATTTAATTGGATCGTTCGTTTGAGATTGTAAGGGTCCTTTTAAATAAAGGATTTAACATTTTCAAGGGAATAAAATCAAAAAGTGGTGTGTAATAGAATTCAGAGGCATCGAGAATATCAAGTATTTGGGAGGTTTGGCCATATCAGATTATATGGGGGATGATTTGTTCCCCTCAATGTTTATGGTGTTTACAGCCCTAGGGCCCGTTCTTCGTACCTCACTTAATACATCTGAGATGATTTGAAAGATGCCAGATCTTCTAATCGTGATGACTGATCTCTGGCTAATTTGGTTCTCCAAACGGATTTGATTAAAATCTGGATTAAAGGGTTAGTTCATCCAAAAATGAAAATTAGCTAAAGTCTCAAATCCAAAGAGATATTCTTTATAAAAGTTAAGAGTCAGCCACACCTACCTAAAACGGCCCCCACATATCTACCTCACTATGTGGGAAGATTTGCATAACTCCGCCCAAATGTTCACACAAAGAAGGCGTAACTTTTATTCTCACTGTAGTATTGTTGCTGCGCTGCCATGTCCTGAAGACGCTGTGTGCTTCGTTGTGAAAGCGAAACTTTGTTTGGTCTTCCAAAAGAGGACGATATCCGCTTTGTCATGCCTGGAGCTGATCCGTGCTGGTCGCTGAGGGAATACATCAACTTGGTGCTGTGGATTGCCGGATCGGCTTTCACCGTGGACGAAGCCCGGGGTTGTCACGTGTGCTTACCGCTCCTTCGTCGGATCCGCCGGCCGTGCCGTTCTCAACCCCGCCGCCTCTGGTCACTCTAGCCCGGCCTCAGCTCACGCTAAGCCGGGGCTTCCGCTAGGCCGCTGTGTTTTTCGTTGTGAAAGCGAAACTACTTTGTTTGGTCTTCCAAAAGAGGACACGACTACAAATCAGTGGTTAAGTTGGCCGAAAATGCATATTCGTCTGAAAAAAGAAAGTCGCATACACCTAGGATGCTTTGAGGGCGAGTAAAATACAGGCTAATTTTCATTTTTGGGTGAACTAACCCTTTAAGTTGTCTAAGATTACTGTGTTCTCTCCATAAAGGGCAGATGTATCGATACTCGAAACCACGATCAGCAATGCAGCGATTGGCTGGTGGCAAGACAGCAACGTAATGACATCGTATAATTAAAAAAGACACCTGACGAAAAACTTGACACGTAATGACATCATATAATTAAAAAAGACACCTGACGAAAAACTTGACACATTTCTGGACCTTTATAAGGAAACAGCAAAGTGAACAAAACTACATAAATGTTATAATAGATAAATTAAATGTGCACTTTTATTTATTACATGATTCCCAATTATTTATATTCACGATTTCTAGTATTTGTACAGGCTTTACATATTTTATTTCAATGTTGTAATTAGCAATTCGTGTAATTTTATATTTGAAGCAGATTTATGTGAAAGCATTGATTAAAGTTTCTTAAGGGTCAAGATCAAGTTATCTGCATCTCCTGCGCTCCATCAAGCCACTCCCATAATAGCTGTCAGCACTCAGTGGAAGCATGTACACTACCATTCAAAAAATTTTAGGTCAGTACGATTTTTTTGACAGTAGCAGTAGCATAAGACTTACAGTAGTATCTCACAGAAGTGAGTACACCCCTCACATTTTTGTAAATATTTTATTATATCTTTTCATGTGACAACACTGAAGAAATGACACTTTGCTACAATGTAAAGTAGTGAGTGTACAGCTTGTATAACAGTGTAAATTTGCTGTCCCCTCAAAATAACTCAACACACAGCCATTAATGTCTAAACCGCTGGCCACAAAAGTGAGTACACCCCTAAGTGAAAATGTCCAAATTGGGCCCAATTAGCCATTTTCTCTCCCCGGTGTCATGTGACTCATTAGTGTTACAAGGTCTCAGGTGTGAATGGGGAGCAGGTGTGTTAAATTTGGTGTTATCGCTCTCACTCTCTCATACTGGTCACTGGAAGTTCAACATGGCACCTCATGGCAAAGAACTCTCTGAGGATCTGAAAAAAAGAATTGTTGCTCTACATAAAGATGGCGTAGGCTATAAGAAGATTGCCAAGACCCTGAAACTGAGCTGCAGCACGGTGGCCAAGACCATACAGCGGTTTAACAGGACAGGTTCCACTCAGAACAGGCCTCGCCATGGTCGACCAAAGAAGTTGAGTGCACGTGCTCGGCGTCATATCCAGAGGTTGTGTTTGGGAAATAGACGTATGAGTGCTGCCAGCATTGCTGCAGAGGTTGAAGGGGTGGGGGGTCAGCCTGTCAGTGCTCAGACCATACGCCGCACAATTGGTTTGATTGGTTTGCATGGCTGTCGTCCCAGAAGGAAACCTCTTCTAAAGATGATGCACAAGAAACAGTTCAAACAGTTTGCTGAAGACAAGCAGACTAAGGACATGGATTACTGGAACCATGTCCTGTGGTCTGATGAGACCAAGATAAACTTATTTGGTTCAGATGGTGTCAAGCGTGTGTGGCGGCAACCAGGTGAGGAGTACAAAGACAAGTGTGTCTTGCCTACAGTCAAGCATGGTGGTGGGAGTGTCATGGTCTGGGGCTGCATGAGTCCTGGGGAGCCTGGGGAGCTACTGTTCATTGAGGGAACCATGAATGCCAACATGTAATGTGACATACTGATGATCCCCTCGATCCCCTCCCTTCGGAGACTGGGCCGCAGGGCAGTATTCCAACATGATAACGACCCCAAACACACCTCCAGGACGACCACTGCCTTGCTAAAGAAGCTGAGGGTAAAGGTGATGGATTGGCCAAGCATGTCTCCAGACCTAAACCGTATTGAGCATCTCAAGGTCTCTAACATCCACCAGCTCCGAGATGTCGTCATGGAGGAGTGGAAGAGGACTCCAATGGCAACCTGTGAAGCTCTGGTGAACTCCATGCCCAAGAGGGTTAAGGCAGTTCTGGAAAATAATGGTGGCCACACAAAATATTGACACTTTGGGCCCAATTTGGACATTTTCACGTGGCCAGCGATTTAGACATTAATGGCTGTGTGTTGACATTAATTACTAACACTCGGAAATCACGCACTGTATGTTGGAGGCAGGCCAATCCTAATAATCTACGGCCTGTCCCTCTGTCCTCTACTACTTTACTCTCTATTCCAATTGGTCTCTGGAACTGCCAGTCTGCT